CCACTTTTACTAGTATCAACATCTGCAGCAGTATGAAATGTAAAATTAAAGTTTACATGTGGTACTATTCACTGAACTGTAATGAACTTTAGTATTACTTGGTGAGCATGAGAAGTAAGAAAATGTATGATCCATAGTAATTGGTACACTTAAAAAGATTCACAAAAGTACTGTAAGAAAAAAACATTTCAAGGATATATATTTGTTACACAGCTCATATGTCCATTTCCTCCCTTTTTCCCCAGGTGAGGGGGGGGACTTGGCGTGGGGGAAGAAGCAGGCCTTCCCATAGTTTGTAGGAATTCAAGGGTTTTATTATTTTTCAGAGTTGCTGATGTCTTCATAAGTCAGGACTTTTCAGTATCATTCATTTCATTTGTGCTGTTTGGCAGACACCCAAAACACATTGCAGGCTAACATGAGTTTCACAAAGAGTGCAAATTATGTTTGTATAGATGTTTGTCAAAGCAGGAAAATATAGAATAATCAGTCTCAAAAAAGTGTTTCTTAGCTATATAAATCAGAAAGGAAAACCTATGTTATTAGAAGATGGTAGGGAATAAGGGTCATTCTGCAGGGAATACATTTTTTTTAATTGCCAAAATCTTTTTTTCAGTCGAATAGAAAGGGAAAGGTGGGGTGGGGAATTGCAAGTCTGTGTGATGAAGACTGAACTTATGTGCTTATCCTTGTACTAAAAAAAGACTTAGCAGAGAAAAGCCATTTCTCTCATCTGAAACATTCATTCCAACTCAATGACATGGTTTCATTAGAAAAGGGCAGAAATGGTAGTGCCCTATCTAAATAAAGAATTACCTAGAGACTACTTGTAATGTATTTCAGCTGAACTGCCCTATGTACTCCATTAGCTCCTGTTGTTGAGAACCAGGTAAAGAATGCACTTTCCATTTTTTATTCATATTTTAGCCACACAAGATCATGGTATTGTTCTCAGTGCATTAGTATATGTTATAATTATTTACGCAGATGATTTTCTGTCCAAATGAAAACCTTTTTGGAGCAACTTCAATACAAAGGCATGGTAGAAGTTCTGAACACAGCAACACAACCAGCAGATGCAATAATGGCTCTACATACAAGGTTGTATGTTATGACATTGGAAAAAATGAACAAAAGTTAACCTCCTTGACTCTGGAAGGTACCTACACGGTAGCATTGGCAAAAGCCTTCCCTTCGTGTATTCCAGTCTTTTGCTCCAACGTTAGGTGCCCACTACACTTGCTTCAGGGACATCTAGCACCCAGTATGCTACCAACTGTATCAATGCAAATCCAGATAAACTGTAATGAGATTAGTGGAACCACATCTGTTTTACAGCAGTGTAACTGAGGGCAAAATCTGGCTAACTGCCTATGGATGTTGCCAAATGAAGCAGACCAGCTGTGCTGGAATGTGTCTTGGCGCAGCTGATCCATTTCATTGGGCAAAACATATATTGCCCACTCTTCTGGAAGGTCAGGCCCCTGCTAATCCTGGAGCTTCAGGTGCTAAATCCTGTGGGGCAACACCTCCCATCTGCAAATGGGGAAACGCAGGCAGATGCCCTGGGGTTCAGGGGCCTGATCCTGTGTGCCCAGGGAATTTCTCTAGGGATCAGGCCCTTAAAGCCCCCAGTGCTCCTTCCTGGGATGACTGGAGCGAGCAGGCATCTCCAGGCTGCCCATGCTCTCCTGCCTTAAAACAAACTCATCCACCACAGAATAGTGGCATGCCTCTAGGATGTAACCTTTTGTCATGTCCACAAATTTGGGTACCTATGGTGCAGCAAAGGGCATGGATATCTGTTTTCTTTTGCATTGTTCTGCTATAAACATTTTTATGGCAGCAACAAAGTGGCATCTGGTTGCAGCCTTATAGTGATTGGTACATAAATATTTTAGATTTCTCTGCCCTTTCCACTTCAGCCACTATGTGATTTCTCTAGTCTGTGTTAAAATAGCCTCAATGACCTCCCTTTGTAAACACATAGGATCACAGGATCATCATAAATTGGGGCTGAAAAGTACCTCATGAGGTCATCTAGTCTAGCCCCTCTGCTCAAGGCAGGATCATCTCTGATTAAACCATCCCAGTCAAGTTTCTGTCTAAACTGCTCTTGAAAATATGTACTCAATCAATCAGTGTTTAAAAATAGCCTATGTCTGTTCTGATTGATTCACAAATTTTTGTAAGCATAAGAAATTGTCAAAAATGTGACAATTTCAAACATTTGCTCGTTACACCTCATGCTGAAAGCCACACAAATGTCAATTGGCTTAGTGTTGATAAGCTTAGTGGAACAGTCATGCTTTAAGGGGAAAAAACTGTCTCTGGGTGTCCTTCACCTGCATAGCTGAGACTTGCCACTAGAGGCTTGATGAGCAGGAGCAGGACTAGGAGCTAGGAGCAGGACGAGCTCACTGCTCTCAGTGGGAGCAGAGCCAATCTGAGTGGTTGGGGGTAGCACTCCTGCCACCAGGCACTCCAGAGCTGCGGTGCTCATTCTACCCAACATGCCCATGGGGCAAGGCACTGTTCCTCCGGCCCCACTGCACCCCAGTATCTCCACTCACCCTGACTCAGGAAGGGCCACTGCATCCTGGGATGCTGGAGGACTTCAACTCGGGTAAAAGAGCTGTGGAGAGTGGCCAAGCCCTAATGAAACAGAAGGAAAATTAGGTAGATTAAAGATAATCCTGCCCTGGAATGGTGTAACTTTAAACCAAATAATGAGTGCTTTAAGCCACTTAAAAAGGTACTAATGTGCAGCCAATCCAGGGGTCAAGAGCTCCAGAAGTCATCTAAAATTACTGTGTAACAAGGCCCTTAGACTGAGAGTGACTGCTATAAAATGCAGTTCCCTCATCCACTTCCAAAGGAAAACTTGTGGTGTAAGGGGAAGCAAAGGGGATTGAAATTTCCATTAGAATCTTTTTATGTACCTTTCTCCCCAGTTGTCCCATCTGCAGATGGGATGGCCATCTATAGAATCAGCCACAAACCCTTGAGAGCCACACAAGGGCAAGTTCTCTGCATCCGTTCCTCACCTGAGCGCCACTGCTGAGCCACCTACAGGTATGGCTTCACCACATAAAGACAAGTATCTTTATTAAAAAGATTACCACAGAAGTGCATTGATTTCCTTTGAAGATTCCTTTGAAATAAATGCAGGTGTGGGCCATTCACCCTGACTTCACCCCCGTCTTAGTCAGCATCACCTGCAGTCTCACTAAGGTAGATCTCTGGATTTAGGAGATAAATGCCCAGATTTTGAAGGAGGTGAGATTTGATTGGTGCAGGAATGGTGCCCTATATATGCAGATCTCCTAAAGGTAGGTCAGACAGCAATTAACTTTTCTTGTGGACAGTGACCGGAAAACATCGTTAAAGGAGAAGAAACAACCAAGGAAAAATATTTAATGCTGTATTAACCATTGTAGTGATGATTACAGTCATTCCAGAATTATGTTGATTAGTAATTAGCAGCAAGCAGATGGGGAATCATGCTGTCTCCCCAGGAAGTTAATGCAAACTAGTTACAGTATTTATATCTTATTGAGACTACCCTGGTAAAATGTGTTCTAAATACATTTTTCAGGACTGAAATAATCTCAACATGTATGTTAAAAATAGGCAAATTAAAATACTGGATTTGAAATCATCCAATAAAACTCACTTTAAGTGTTTTACTAAAGACAAATGAAGAGGTTTCTATACTGGTATTTAATCTACAACCATTGTTGGCTTTAATCCCTGTTTTATTTCTTTTTTCAGTTTATAATAAATTTTTAAAAGGCACCTACCCAACGTCTTTGCTATGAATGAAAATACAGCTGCACAAAAGGATTAAACTACAGCTGTTCCTCACCCATTATTAACCAAAGAGGAATTCTGCATTCAACCAAAGTCCTTCTTGCCATACACCCCAGCCTTGTCATGTCTTTTTCTTCCCCAAAAGTCAGGGAAATAGATAAACTTTGAAGTCACCCTAAGAAGGTGGTGCAGTCGCCATCCTTACAGGTGTTCAAGGGGAGGCTGGATACGCACCTCATTGAGCTAGTATGAGTGCTTTAACCTCGCCAGTTGGCAGGGGACCAGACTTGATGATCTTACAGGTCCCTCCTGGTCCATTGACTCTATGACTCTAAGAATAAACAGAACTAAGATATTTTGGACCAAGTCTAGGCCAGTAGTTTCTAAAAGTGAGAACCTCCCACAGAAAATTCTAGCAGCCCTCTTCTATTTATTATTCCTTCCCCATCCCAATTATCTCTGCTAAACATGAGTGTGGAACTAATGCCCAGAATATATGACCCTTTGATGAGGTTTGCCCCAAGCCATTTAGGGCTTTCTGTGTCAAAAAATACATCTTAAACTGCCCCAAGAAATCAATAGGTAGCCAGTGTGAATGATGGTGCACAATTGCATTTGATCCTTGCACGTTATACATCTTAATGAGCAGACAAACACACTCTGAATGTATTGAATTTGATAACCCTGGCAGTCCCAAGGGGGAGCAAACACAGTCAAAGGGGAAATTAAATAAGGGATTCATTTATTTAACGTGTAACTAAATGTTTATATGGTTGTTCATTACTAAGGTGTAAAACTTTCTGCCACTTCATTTTCAGAAGTGAAAAAAAACAGTAAGAAAATATAGGGGATGTGTTGAGGTCTTTGCAATTATAAAATGAGCAATATGCTCCATAATGAAGCATGCTGGAGGGACCTGTTAATCCCTCATGAATACCTAGGGAATGTCATCAGGGACTGCTATTGAAATGCATCTCTTCTTTTATCTAGGAATCAGAGAGAACATCTCCAGCACCTCTGCAGTGCTCCCTAACAGAAAAGGCTTTAAAGTTATATTATTCCTACCAGAGATTGAACCTGCTAAATGGGATAATAATAACTTCTACTCTGCCCCTGAGACCCAGAATAAATTGGAACAAGATTTCATACACCACACATTATTATATACAATTATTTCTATTTGACAGGCTATTACAAAGAGAACAATCAGAATGATCCTGAGGATTCAGTGGATAGCACCAGGCATTATCAATATACAAGGAAGCACTACGAGGAGAAGAAAAGTGGGTCATCATCTTTTGTATCGTCCATTGAGGATGAGCAGAAACCCCTGTTTGCTGGAATAATTGATTACCCATCAGTGACAGGCAAAACTACAGGGCTGGACTTTGAAGAAGTGGTGCACATAGCAGAAAGGATACACATTGACAAAAGAAGTCATTCTTGTAAAGGTAATTTAATCTGTTCTGCTCTTTTGTAAAGCTGGACTATTCAACTCTCTGCTCTGAGGACCAATGAGAAAAAAAAAAAGAAAGAAAAAACACTTTTCTGAATGGCTCCAGTGACAAATAACAGAGGAATTTATTTTTAAGTGTTTCATTAAACATTCACAAAGAATATTCTTCTAGTTCATATAGAGAATATTCAACCCAAGATGTTTCCCATGAAGGGAATGTAATTTGGTAGATTAGGAATAAAATGGAAAATGAGAAGCTCTTGAGTTTTAGCTGAGGTGTTGGCAATGAATCACTCCATCACTGAATCTTCTTAGATTCAAATCCTTAAGCAAAAATATTAAAGGTACCCACTAATGTTGCATGGGTCCAGTGTTTGAAGATATGGACTTGAGATTGTCTTTCATTGCTGTAAACTAGGATTTATACTGGCAGAGAATCCATCAAACATGTTGAAAGATGGAATGTACATTGTGCTACAGTGTTAGATAGCAGCACAAAATCCTGGATGGGGTATCTTCTGTTTAACAGAAGGGATACTAAATATGAGTTTCATGAAGCCATATCATAAATCGGAACAAGTCTTGCTTGACTTCAGCAGGAAATTTAGATGAGTAAATAGAGCAGGATTTAGCCCCTTGTATATATGGCAAATGTTTTGCAAAGATTAAGCCATCTCAGTTAAGTTAAAATGGAGTGGTTGCTTTCTATCACAACATTGAATGTATTATTTCTTTTATTAAAGCCTTAATTGTCTCAGTGAAATTCAGAGTGAACAAATGAAATGGTTAAGTTTTAGTACAACATTAACAAATGTTGCTGAAGGTTTGTTTGCAGTTATTTAAGTCTGAAAAGACTTGTATATTCAGTACTTACTGCTGTTTCCCTCAATTTGTTTCTTGGCACAGTAAATTTAACTACATATTAGATCAACTTTAGTTTTTGAGGGTAGTATTTAAAATGCTTCTAAAAAATAATCCTCTCAAACAACATATTTTTAACATTCCAGAAATCCAGCAATATGAAAACTGGTCTTCTTGGGCTAAGGTCAAATGCTGAGCCACATAAACTAGCTGTGTACATATTGCAATTTGAAAGCTTATCTTTCCCTTGCTGGTAGCCAGAAATGTGTCCTTGCAACTATAGCAACATTTTCCAAGGCAACCTATTGCAGATTTTACTCTGAGCTAAATTTAGTCTGTCAAAAGGGCGTATATTTTAATTAAGATTGCATATTTTTTTCCTTTGTAATCCTGAGATTTTAGTAGCACATTTGAAAAGCTGGTTGCCTTTCTTGCCACTTTCATAAAAACATTAAATTCAACCAATCAACATTTTAAATTAAACTCTCATTCCTGTAATCAGTTATTGATTTTATTTTGTATAAAGGCAATTGTAAACATAATGACATTCTAAAATAAACTCCATATAAATTTAAACTATGAATTTATAAGCTTAGAATTATTAAGTATTCATATAAATGAACTCATAAATGTGAAAGAAACCATAATTCTTTGTCAATATGACAGATAACATAACACATAACAGTTGCTTTAATGTTGGTCATTAATTTACATTTTGGAATGTGATATGATGGGCGATCACTCATGAATGAGTAAGATTATCTTCCAAGGAGCTTAATAGTGATTCCGCAGATGGCTCCATAGCCCAATTTTAGATCCACGTGTCTTGTCGCAGTGAGGACAAGTGTTTCCAGGAGGGATGGGCACTGTGTTGCTGCACTGAATGTTCTGATGTTCTTTTTGCCTCTTCCTCTATTCCTCTTCCGCCTGTCAACGAACTGTTTCAAAGTGTTGAGATCCCTCCCAAAGAGTATTCCTCCATTTTGGTTAGTCCTGAGAAAGGGTCTCCCAAATACTGATATTGATGTTACACCCCTCCATGTTTGCCTTCAGGTTGTCTTTGCAGCACTTTCTTTGCCCTCCACTACTTCACTGACCTTCTTTCAGCTGTGAGAAAAAGATTCTCTTTAGAAGGTGGGAGTCAGGCATGCAAACATGACCTGTACAGCAAAGTTGGTTTTGGATGATCATGGCCTCAATGCTGTTGGAATTTGCTTCGGCCAAGACACTGATCTTTGTGTATCTATTCTCCCAGCTAATCCAAAGGATCTTGTGAAG